GCTACCAGAGCTCCTTACGCTACCAGAGGTAGCATAGTGGTTATGAATTGGGCTGCTAACCTCAAGGTCAACAGTTCAAGACTACCAGCTGTTCTGCAAGAGAAAGATGAGGCTTTCTGCTCCCGTAAAGATTTACAGTCTTGGAAACCCTATACAGGGTTGCTATGAGTCGGAACCGACTCCAAGCACACTATTACCACCACCATACAGACTGAAAAGTACCGTGAAAGGATACAACCTCGGAGCACACATTTCCTGATTTTACCCCGATCAGAATCCCCTTGTTCTGTTCTAACAACTGCCTCTTTTTGTATGTACGGATTTGTCTTGCGCACAATGAAGTTTTCTGTAATACCCATTCTTTGCAATGTTATCCATAGTTTGTTATGAGCCACACCATTGAATGCTTCTACATAGTCAATAAATCACAAGCAAACATCTGTCTGGTATTCTTTGCTTTCAGTCAAGATCCATCTGACGTCAGCTGAAGTTTCCGAAATGGAATCAAGCATTCCTTGCAATCGGTTCCTCTTTTCTCTCCCATTTCCGGTATTGGTGTCTAACTCTCTTAGGTGCTCAGCTGACACCTCTGTGCACATCCCCAGTGAGCAGCCCAGTCTGATGAAGTTCCTGCTCGGCTGTGCCTCTTTTTCCATCCTCATCTCCAATGGCAATAGCTAAATCTTTGAAGTTGGTCACTTAAGTTCAATGTCTAGTTTCACCATCCATGAGCTATGTAAATTTACATACCTTCTACCTTCTTTAATACCCTAATTATTATTTTCATTTTAAAATTGCAACCAAAACTGACCTCGTTGTTGTTGTTAGGTGCCATTGAGTAGGTTCCGACACACAGTGATCCTGTATAGGGTTTCTGAGGAACCGCTGACCTTGCGGTTCAAACTGACTTTGCAATCAGTCACATTAACCCACAGTGCCACACCAGGACTCCAAAACTGACATTGTTGTTGTTGTTAAGTGCCATTGAGTCAGTTCTGACCTACAGCAACCCTGTGTAGGATTTCCAAGGAGCAGCTGGTGAGCTTGAACTGCTGACCCTGAAGTTCAAACGACTTTGCAGTCCAGCGCATTAACTCACAGTACCACACCTGAACTCCAAAACTGACATTGTAGGGTGAAAATGAAAGCGCATTTACACAGCATAGCTGGCTGATATCGCTAGTTTCTGTCGAGTCAGCCTTTGGCAACTCATGGCAAGCTCGGCACAACAGAACAAAGCACTGCCCAGTCCTGTACCATCCCCATGATTAGTTGTGAACCACAGGGTTCTCAGTGACTAGTTTTTGAAAGTAGATCACCAGTCCTTTCTTCCTAGTCTGTCTTAGTCTGGAAGCTCTGCTGGAAACCTACTCCACAGTGTAGCAACCAGCAAGCTGCCATTGGCAGCCACGTGGTTGTTTGCAGTTGGTCTGGAGTTGAACCGATGGAAGGTAAGAATTCCATCACTGAAGTACCAATGTCCCCCAAGGCTGAAGGATTGTTTATGCTGAAATTAAAACAAAAGGTAGCCACAACTGCCACCACCATCATCTCCTTATATTTATACTCATTAGTATAACTTCTCTGCTATTTCCAATCATGTGCAAGTAGAAGTTTCTACCTGTGCAGGCTATGAAAAATGATGTCATCATATCTGAATCATGTTCCTATTGGGGTTGGGGCATCTCTAGGGTTGAAGCCCTAAGGCTCCCTCAGGGATGACCCGTATTTATCTTTATGGTTTCATGATTTATGGAGTGGAGACTGGGTGAGTTACCACTTTTCTGAATGTGATGGTGAACTGGTCTCTTCTAGGTTCATGGATGACAAATTGAAACAAACTCAGTGAAACGTGAGCATTTATAGTCCATATGGTGGTGGTTGGTGGTTATGTGCTGTGGAGTCGGTTTCAACTCATAGCGACCCTGTACAGGGTTTCTGAGGATGTAAATGTTTATGCAAGCAGAAAGCCTCATCTTTCTCTCACGGAACAGCTGGTAGTTTCAAACTGCTGACCTTAAGGTTCGCAGCCTGATTCGTAACCACTACACTACCAGAGCTCCTTATAGTCCACATGAAAGGGATGAAGGAAGAATATTTTACATGAGGACTCAAGACACATTTCATTTGCTGTTCCTGGCATTTGGCAACTATAGAATTACCTTCAATTAAAAAAATAATCAAAACCGTATGTTTCCTCAAAACAGAATGAGGACTGAAAGACGGAGGAGCGCCGTGAGATTGGCATGTTGGGAGTTATAGGAACCTTTAGGAATTTAGATTTTTTTGGAGAAAATCAGAGCATTTGTTAGTGGAGACTTGTGTTTTACTGTGATGCCAAACAGGTTTCAGTGGCACTTTCAGACTAAGGCAGATGAAGAAGAAAGGTCTGGCAAGCTGCTGTTGCAAATCAGCCACTGTGAACCGTCTCGATGACAACAGTCTGGTGTGATGGGACACTGAGCATGAGGTTGGCACGTGACTGAGCAGTGTCTTGTTCTGTTGTGCATGGAGTTGCCATGACTTGGAGACTGACTCCCTGGCAGCTAACAAAGACAATGGGCGGACGGAAGCAAGCGTAGTCACTGAAACGGTTGTGAAGAGCTGACGGTACAGAATTGAAGCGCACTGCTTTCTTCTTTCCCAGCTCTTTGGTGAAGACTGGAAGAGTGCACGGGCCAGACCTGAGGATTGTACTGAAACATGCCAGGATCAGCGCAAAACTCAGCGTCTTTTTGGTCCTTTCCGCGGTCCAGGATCCATGTGGTTCTGTGATTGCGGGGAAAGGCTAGCTGGTGCTGCCTCTCAGGGAAGAAGATGGCAGAATTGGGATATTTAAAGAACAGTGCATTGTTTTAAATTATACTACCAACATGGCCTGTCCACATTCTATCTTGTTAAATAAAGGCATTAAAAATGAATCCAGCAAAACTCTATTGAAAACATTCAACTCCCATCTACTAATATCACTATTTCCTAATGTAAATGATATTTTAGCATTCAAAAATATAGAGAGGGATCAAAACACTAAACACAGAATTATCATCATTGTTGGTGCCTGCCATTGAGTTGGTTCCGACTCATAGCGACCCTGTATAGGGTTTCTGAGGAGTGGCTGATGAGCTTGAACTGCTGACCTTGCTGTTCAAACTGACTTTGCAGTTCAGTGCATTAACCCACAGCACCACACCAGGACTCCAAAATGGACATTGTTGTATTTAAGTGCCGTTGAGTCAGTTCTGACCCATAGTGACCCTGTATAGGGTTTCTGAGGAGCGGCTGGTGAGTTTGAACTGCTGACCTTGCAGTTCACACCAACCTTGTGGTCCAGTGCTTATCCTAAAGTGCTACACCAGGACCACACTATCCTGCAATTCCACTCTTAAGTATATAGTGAAAAGATATGAAAGCAGAGATTCAAGAAAATACTTGTATACCAACGTTCATTCCAGCATTCTTTATCATAGGCAAAAGGTGGAGGCAACCCAAATGCCCATCAACAGATGAAGGGATAAACAAAATGTGGTCTATCTGTATGATGGAATGTCACTCCACCACAAAGATAAATGAAATTCTTACACAAGCTTGAAACTTGAAGACATGATCAGCGAAATAAATCAGACTCGGAAGAACAAATATTGTATGACCCCCCTTACATGAGACATCTAGAATAGACAAGTTCATACAGACAGGAAGTAGTTCAGTGGTTACTAGGTGGCGTGGAGGATGGGGAGAAGGGACATTATTACTTAAGGGGTACTGAGTCTATGAAGGGTGATGAAAAAGTCTGGGAAGTAGGTAGTAGTGATGATTTCACAACACAATGAATACAATGAATGCCCCTGAATTGTACACTTGCCACTGGGGAGAATGGCACATTGTAGATGATATATCTGTGACCACAGCAGAGCACAGTTTTCAGAAACATCGGCTGGAATTGTACGTTCTGAAATGAGGTTAGTATATATGCTGAACACATTTTGATTTATGAAAAGCTTTTTACGTGGTTGGTTATTTTCTCATTTCACTAGAGTGTGGCATGGAGAGACACCACTGCATCCGAACCTTCTGAAAACATTTCTCAACCTCACGTCCACTCTCTGTGCTGAGATCTTTCATGTATGTCGGTCCATTTGATTCTCATAAGAACTCAGGTTTTGCAGATGAGGAACCCGAGACTCAGGAAAATTCAGAAACTACCCCAAAGTGGCACAGTTGGTAAAAGAGTGGAGCTAGGAGGGCCTGATCTTTGCACTGTAGGGGTCTCATTCTCAACAGTAGAACCTTCTGTCACCCAACTCTTCACACTGTCCACTGTTTTACTCAAGAAAGCAGTTGCTAACGCTGTTATCAACCATATACTGCCGCATCTGTTACAAACAAACAAACAAACATGGAAACCATGCCCAATCCTGTACCTTCAGATCATCCAGGTTTGATGGGAGTGGGCCTGGCTTGAGAGAAGAAACACCAGTTGGTCCAGAAAAGCTGTTTTTGACAGGAGACAAAGCGGTGTTGCTCAGTGGTGTTGAAGAAGTATTTGGATTTCTGACCATCTGTTCATTTGTTTCCCTGAAAAACAAAGGAGTACTTCACATATCGCTGACTATACATGGAGTCCTGGTGTGGTGCTGTGGAGCTGGACTGCACAGTTGTTTGGAACTGCAAGGGCAGCGGTTCAAGCTTACCAGTTGCTCCTTGGAAACCCTATACAGGGTCCCTATGAATAGGAACCGATTCGACGGCACTTAACAGCTTTCACTGGGCAAAAAAAAAAGTTTTGGAGGAAATCTTAAAGCTGTCAAATATTTCATTTTACTTCTATCCACAATCCATGTCCATGGGAGTGTTGTTGTTAAGTACTGTCGAGGTAGTTCTAACTCATAGACCCTTTAAAGGATTTCCAAAGAGCATCTGGTAGGTTTGAACCACCAACCTTGTGCTATGTAGCCTAGCGATTAGCCTAGCATTTAGGAAATCAAATGGCATATAGAATTGGAAAAACCTCCTATAAAAGATCTCTCTCTCTCTCTCTTTTTTTTTTTTTTAAAGTTTTTATTGAGTGAACTGAGTGATAGTTTACATGGGAAAACATTGGTTTTACACTCATTGTTTCATTGCAATGATTACAATCTCCTCTGTGCATCTTATGGAGCTCTGGTAGTGTAGTGGTTACGAATCGGGCTGTGAACCTCAAGGTCTGCAGTTTGAAACTACCAGCTGCTCCACGGGAGAAAGAAGAGGCTTTCTGCTCCCGTAAAGAGTTACAGCCTCGGAAACCCTGTACAGGGTCGCTATGAGTCGGAACCGACTCCACAGCACATCACAACAACAACAGCTGTGTACCTTCATTCAACAGTACTTGCTTCTATTCCCTCTGTGTGTGTGTGTTTTTTTGTGTGTGGGGGTGATGTTATAAAAGATCTCTTTAAAGTGTTAAAAAGTAAAGATGCCACATTGAGGACTAAGGTGTGCCTGATCCCAGCCATGATATTTTCATGCAAAGCTGGATCATGAATCAGGAAGGCTGAAGAGGAATGGATGTCTTTGAATTACAAGTATTGGAAAAGAATATTAAATATTCTACAGATTGCCAGAATAATGAACAAATCTATGTTGGAAGAAGTACCACCAGTGTGTTCCTTAGAAATGAGGGTGGTAAGACTTTGTCTTATGTACTTTGGATCTGTCATCAGAAGGGCCAGTCTCTGGAGAAGGACATCATGTTTGGTAAAACAGAGGGTCAGGGAGAAAGAGAGAGAGACACCCTCACAAAGATGGATTGACACCGTGGCAGCAGCAGTGGGCTCACATACAGGAAAGACTGTAAGACTGGCGCAGGATTGGGCAGTGTTTCCATCTGCTGTACACAGATTAGTGTGAGTTGGAAATGACTCGATGGCTCCTAGCAGCAGCAACAACTTTCATTGAGAAGTGGATCAGGAAGGAATTGCTGACGTGGATCAGGCACGGAGGGTGAAGAAAACACTGTACGCTAGGGGGGCAAGTGTAAAGTAACACTCCAGCTTAGTTTGGGGGAGTAAGAGGGAATGGTAGAAGGACAGAGGACCCTAGTACCATCAAGGGAGAAGAGCAAAAGTGGAATGTGGGACCCTATCCTTAGAAGCAGGGACACCAGAGATGGAGGCAGAGACGAGGACATGGAGAGAGGGAGCAGCTGAGGACCCTAGATTCATGGAAAGAGATGGACTGAAAACTGGTGGTCAGGAGGCAGTCTTGCAGAATGTGCCCTTTGGATGTTTAAATGATTCATACATTCCTGAATGTTTTTGTATACATCCAAAAAAACAAACACCTCCCTGCCAAAAAACCCAGAGGGAATAGAAGCAAATACTGTTGAATGATGATGCACGGAGATCGTAATCATTGCAATGAAATGATGTGTGCAAAACCAATGCTCTCCCATGTAAACTATCACTTAGTACAAAACTAGAAAAAAAAAAAAAAAAAAAAGGGCGTAGTGGAGACTGGGGCGTAGAGGAGAACAACATGCCTGCCAATGGTTTAGTAGGTACACACAGGCTGTGTGAAGATGGATTGTGCTCAAAACTCAGTATAATTTCCTGTATGACCTGAGACTAGACCAACACAGATGAGGAAACCAACATCCTTTCTTTGCGGTCAGTGAGGAGACTGACCATTTAAAAGGTGACCTAGCTATGGAGTCTCAAAACCTGGGCTCCAGAGTCAGTCAATCCATCATTCAGTTCGGCTGCTTCTCAAACTATACATGCTGAGCCAACTCACAGTCTGTGGTCAATATTGGAATTGCATTACGTTCTTAGACAGTTTCTCCTCTCCATGCTACCATTTAGTGGAACAATGCTTAGACAGACATTCCAGTTTTCCCAAAGGGGCATTGAGTTGCATGCTTTCTCCTGGCTCCATGTACCTGCACAGGAGCACACAGTTTCTAAACCTGACCCTACTGGACACAAGGTTGTGGAGTGATCTGAGATTCACTGAGCCACACGATGCTGGCGGGGAGCTGCAGGCAGAGGTCAGCTGTTCCCCACGTCTGCCCCCAGTCCCAGTCCCAGCTTGGCTGACTTACTTGAGCGGTGCCTGGGGGAGCCCTGGGTAGCTGAAGCGCTGTTGCTGTTGCTGACTGAGGATCTGGAGTTGCAGGAAAAGCTGCTGCCGTTGAAGCAGCCGGGCATAGGCTGAATCCATGGGCGGTGGGGACTTCTCGGCCTTCTGGTCTGGGGGGATGTACTGGTGATACTTCAGCTTCTTCACCTTTGGTTTGGGGTCCTTGGGCTTTTTGTGACGGTTCTTACTATCGCTTAGGGACTTGGACTGCAAAGAAGATGAAGATACGGCATAGTGCTTAGGAAATGGATGCAGGTACCTTGGCATCATGGATATACTGTGTGTTAAGTTTGGCCTGATGTGAATTCTTAACCCCAGAAATATACCGCACCCCCCAAATATACGAAGGGGCTTCCAAAAAGATCAAGGAAAATTTCCCCAAACGTTTTGAAGTCCCCTCGTCCCTAAAGCACAAGGCACAAAATAATCCTAGAATCAAGTATTCAGCGCGTAAGTGAGAAAGTGGAAGAAAGATGAGGCTTTCTGCTCCCTTGAAGGTTTAAGCCTCAGAAATCCTATACAGAGTGGCTATGGGTCAGAACCGACTCGAGAGCATTTAACAACGACTATAAATGCATCACCTGGTGCTATACTCCTTAGGTACGCACTCAGGAGTCTTGGAAGTGGCTCTAGGATTTGTTACTTGCTAGAATAAGGAGCTCTGGTAGCGTAGTGGTTACGAATCAGGCTATGAACCGCAAGGTCAGCAGTTTGAAACTACCAGCTGTTCCACGGGAGAAAGATTAGGCTTCCTGCTCCCATAAAGATTTACAGCCTCGGAAACCCTGTACAGGGTTGCTATGAGTCGGAACCGACTCCATGGCACATAACAACAACAACAGGATCCAGAATGGGATGTAGGATGTGTTTCAGGCCATGCCCTACCTTCATCTCAACCATCTAATGGGCCTAATAAAGGATGTGTCCAGGTTTTATGATTTTTTTCCAAAAGTTCTTTCATACGTGTACATGTAATCACCTTGATTTAGGCACTTAATGACTTGACTTACTCACAGGCTTACATGACATCAAGATAGTCTTTGAAAATCTAGAATGATTATCTTTCTGGGTTTTGGGCTAAAACGTTAGATAGACTATCCCTATCTTCCTCCAGTCCCAAATGCTGATATAAGATTATCCTTATGGGAAATATTATTAGCACCCACTGGAACCTTAACTATAAATTACCCATTCATGATTTGGACATACTATAGGAAGTTCAGGATACAGACTTGGATGTTAAGACAAATCTTTCTACCATTTGCTAATATTTTGGTTGTGATACGATCATTTAATTTGATGACAGTTTAGTCCTACATCTGCAAGTTAGGGAAATATTCTCGACTTTCAAAGTGAGTGATCAATCTATGGAGTATAAAAGATAATATTAAAATAATTGACAAACAGGTGTTAATGAACAGTTATTACTATATCTATCTATTGATCGATCGATATAGATACAGATATAGATACATATATAGTGGTGTGGGAGTCCTGGCATGGTACTATAAGAGATGCATTCGGTCTCAAGGTTGGTTTGAACTGTAAGGACGACAGCTGCTCCTTGGAAGCCCTATACAGGGTCACTATGAGTCAGAACCGACTCCATGGCACTTAACAACAACATACGGTGGTGGTTGTGTGCCGAAACATAGCAACCCTGTATAGGGTTTACAAGGCTGTAAATCTGTATAGGAGCAGAAAGCCTCATTTTTCTTCTGTGGAACAGCTGGTGGATTTGAACTGCTAACCTTCACATTAGCAGACCAGCTCATAATCCACTATGCTACCATAAATAGATGTATAATATTGTTATTGTTGTTGTTAAGTGCCGTCGAGTCTGTTCTGACTCACAACGACCCTTTATAGGGCTTCTGAGGAGTGGCTGGTGAGCTTGAACCCCTGACCTTGTGGTTCAAACCGACTTTGCAGTCTAGTGTAGCAATCCACAGTGTCACACCAGGACTCCATTAAAAAAAAAAAAATTATATATCAAACCCTGTGGCACAATAGTTAAGTAGTTTAAACCCATTAGTTGCCCCATGGAGTCCTAGTGTGGCACTGTAGGATCAGCACTGGACTGCTAACCACAAGGTTGATGGTTCAAATCCACCAGCCACTTCTTGGAAACCCTATACAAGCTTGCTATGAGTCAGAAATGACTCGATGACACTTAACGAGAAAAGAAGCTGGCAATCTGCTTCTACGGGGCAGTTCTAGTCTGCTAAATAAGGTCGCAGTAAATTGGAATCATCTCGCACACAACAACAGCTATATGAGGGGGCTTCAAGAAGTTTGTAGGGAAAATTCCATCATCTTTTAATTCCATTTTTTCATGAACTTTTCAGAGCCCCTTCATGTGCATTGCATGTACAAAAGAATTTAGGATTCCATTATCCTTTAATTTCACTTTCCCACACACTTTTTGAAGCCCTCTCATTCTACTGTTCAATTGGACAGTGCTCAAACATTCCTTTTTCCCAAAGAGGCTTCTTACCAGGGGCATTGATCTGTGTGCTTTCTCCTGGCCTCATGTGCCTATAAAGGTCTGTGTGTCTGTGCTTGTATCTGTCAGTCTGTCATTCTGTGGTGATCTGCATGTTGCTGTAGTGTTGGAAGCTCTGACACCGGTATTTCAAATACCAAGGTCATCCACAGTGGACAGATTTCAGTGGAGCTTCCAAACTCACAGGCACTAGGAAGAAAGAACTGGCAATCTATTTCCAAAATCTGGTAGATGAAAACTTTATGAGTCACAACAGAACACTGCGATACAGTGCTGGACGTTGAGCCCCCTAGGTTGGAAGGTGCACATAGTTGCAACAATAGATTCATGACGCAGGCCTGGGAAACATTTCATTCTGTTGGTGCCAAATCATGGTACCCAACATCAATATCTAGATCTATATTGTTGTTGTTAGTTACTGTTGAGTTTGTACCTATTGCTATTTTTATAATCTGAAATTAAAAGAGCTCCGTTTCTTAGAAGCAGGAGAAAGAGGAGGCTCTCTCTGCTCTTGCAAAGATTTAAAGCTTCAGAAACCCTATACAAGGTTGTTGAGTCAGAACCGACTTGATGGCACTTAACAACAACAACAATATATTAGAAAGAAATATATAATCCCTAATTATATTAGCTAAATAATATAAGTTTTCACACTCTGACTTTATTTACAACGGTTGAAATGAAACAAGTGGATGTCATGACACGATTTTCTGAGAATTGGGGGCAAAGATGGAGAGAAAGTGTAGTACCAGCAGTATCCAGAAGAGGGGGCGCCTGAACAGTTAGTTGCCAGACATTCTGATTGGCTGCTTTCCCATTGCAACCGCAAAATACTCATCTCAGCTCAATGTGACCTTATCCAAAGAAGCCTACAACTTGTTTTACTCTGACTCAGCACTTTGCACCCCAGAAGGCTCTTTTTTTCCTCCTGGAGGCTTTTTCCTGGAAACTAATGAATATTAGTAAGCACAACTATTTCGGGGCGCTGGATGCTCTGGTTCTCTAGCTCAGGCATTGATTACTGAGGTTGATTAATCAATCTTTCCACATGCACCTGAAGCATCTTCGCAGGGCGCCCACCAGCAGCTCTGCCCTGTTGCGCTCCTGCAAAGCCTCTGCTTGCCTTGTCTGGGGTTCGCAGCTAATCGGGATCGAGGTCTCCCCTCGGTCCCCTTCCCTTTCCCGCTCCGTTGTCTCCCACCCCTTTGCCTTAGCACAGGGATTCTGAGGATTCCTGGAAGAATCTAAACGTATATTCCAATTAGGATTGTTGTTAAGTGCGGTCGAGTTGGTTCCGATTCACAGCGACCCTAGGAGTGGCTGATGGGTTTGAACCTCCGACCTTACATGGCGCCACACCAGGACTCCATGGCGCTGCGGGTTAATGCACTGGACTGCAAAGTCAGTTTGAATTGCAAGTTCAACGGTTCAAGCTCACCAGCCTCACCTAGGAAACCCTATAAAAGGTCGCTGTGGGTTGAACCGACTCTACGGTGCTTAACACCACCACATCAGGACTTCATAGGGAGAGGTAAAGAAACAACTGAATGCATGCATGGAACTACATACTTTCATTCTGTTTTTTTGAGCCAGGATGCCAAAAAACAAAAATTCAATTGTGTTGCTGTCAAGTCAGACTCATAGGACCGTAAAGAACAGAGTAGAACTGCATCCATCAGAGGGTCTCTAAGACTGTAATCTTTACGGAAGCTCCCATAGAGATGCTGGTGGATTCACACTTCCAGATAGGAGCCAAGTGCTTTAAGCATGGTGCCACTAGGGCTCCGTCAGGGGATACTAACTGAGTTCAGACCAGTTCCCCTCCAGCTGACTATGACTTGTGGCACCCCCCAAGTATGTCAATAGAACTGTGTTCCAGAGGGTTTACAATGGCTGAGTTTAAAAGTAAAATTGCCAGGCCTTTCTTTCACGGCATCACTGTAGAATTGAACTTCTAACCTTCTGGTTAGCACTCAAGTGAGTTAACTGTTTTCACCACACAATGTATTATTGCTAGTAGTGTAAAACTTCATTGCTAACAGAAGCAGCAAAATGGAGTCCTGGTGTGGATAAGCACTCAACTGCAAGGTCGGTTCGAACCATGAGGTCGGTGGTTCAATCTCACCAGCCACTCCTTGAAAACCCTATAGAGGGTCACTATGAGTCGGAACTTACTTGATGGAACTTAACCACAACAATGAACGCAGCAAAATCAAACAACAACAAAAAAAAAACCACTCCAAAGCCCCAAACCCCTTTGGCACTGAGTTGAGGCTGAAGTTGTAGTGGTTATGAATCAGGCTGCGAACCACAAGGTCAGCAGTTTGAAACCACCAGCTGTTTCGCAGGAGAAAGATGAGGCTTTCTGCTCCCATAAAGATTTACAGCCTCGGAAACCTTGTACAGGGTCACTATGAGTCATAACCGACTCCATGGCACATAACAACAACAACATGGTAACCCTGAGTGTCAGATACAACCACATCACAGGGTTTTCTTGGCTGTAATATCTGTAGAAGTAGACCTTTTGTTTCCTGCAGTTAGTGCTGTATGAGGTTGAACCGCATCTTTTGATCAGCAGTTGTCATAGATTGAATTGTGCCCTCTCCCCAGATAATGTGTCATTTTGGCTGGGTTCGTTATTTTCAGTGGTTTGGTTGTTACGTAGTGAAGTCATGTGGCAGTTCTGTGATGATCCCCATGACATGATCTGATGTGATAAACCAATAATGAAAGGATTAAGGGTGGGCTGCAACACCCCCAATCCCATCCCAACCCTGATAAAAGGCAGAGAAGGAGGTCCTGTTATCACCGAGAAAGAGGCCGGAAGTGAAGCATATTCATTGGACTTGGAATCCCTGCACTGGGAGTCTTCTGTTGTTGTTATTAACTGCCATCGAATTGGTTCCGACTCGTAGACACACCGAATAGGTTGGAACCTGGTGGATTTGAACCACCGACATTGTGCTGAAGAGTCCAGGATTTTAGAAGCTTCTAGATCAAAGCAAAGATTGATGCCAATACACATGCCAAGAATGCTGGACCTCCAGATACTAAACACAGACAAGGACCTGTTCTCAGAGCTGGTGATCTGAATTGTGACTTCTACCTCTACGCTGTGAGAAGAATCCTGGTGTGGTGCTGCAGGATAAGCGCTGGACTGTTAACTCAAAATCAGTGGTTCAAACCCACCAATTGCTCCTCAGAAACCCTATAGAGAGTCAATTATGAGTTGGAGCCGACTCGACGGCACTTAACAACAACAAACACTGTGAGAGTTAAAGCCATCCATTTGTGGTATTTTGTTCTAACAGTGCTAGAGCACTAACACGGCAGCAGGGTAAAAACCGCTGGGACCACAACCAAGGTCCTAAAGCTGACTTGGATCCAAACTCAGTACTGAAAACCTCAGGCATAAATGTGTGAGCCAGCTTAGCATAGAGCTGAAAGGAATCAAGGTCCATGGTCAGAGCGTGCGCGTCTTCCTAAAGGCATTTGGCCTCCGATCTGCACACAAACTTGGATCTACAGAATATTCCATCAGCTCGCAGTTTGCTTGTCAGTCCTAACCTGCACAGTGAAGACCAAACTCTGTAGCTTGCTAAGGAAGACAGTTCTCCAAACTCTAAACTTCCTGCTCTCCAATCGTTTCTACTTTTTGCCTAAAAGAGGCAAAAGGTGAGCAATGTTCAGCGTCTTGGGAACTTGGTCTCCTCTGCTCAACCACTAAGGCCAGCTCAAATCTAGGCTCACCTGGGAAGCTCTTTCTAACCCACAGTGATGTCTCTCCTCCCTCCAGCTGCACTTTGCATGTGGCAGCAATATGAAGCGGACTGATCCTGGTCTCAAGGAGCTCTTTAGGACAAAGATGAGGCTTTCTATTCCCACAAAGATTTTCAGCCTCAGAAACCCTGCATAGGGTTGCTATGAGTCAGAATTGACTCTATGGAAGTTGGTTTGGGATCATGGCCACAACTGAACAATGTTACCTAGAGAGGTTCCCTAAATCTATATACTAGGGAGGCTGTGGCCCCCTGAAGAAGGCACACCTCTTTTTATTCTAATGTGGTAAAATGCCCAGGACATAAAATTCACCTTTTTAACCACTTAAAAGTATAAAAATCGAGTGGCATTTAGTATATTCATCATTTTGTACCATAATTACCACTATCCATTTCCAGAACAATTGTGTGTGGCATTGTAGGATCGATGCTGGACTGGGAACCACAAGGTTGGCAGTTCAAACCCACCAGCTACTCCTCGGAAACCCTATACAGGATCGCTATGAGTTGAAACCGACTCGAGTTGGAACTAACCCACATTTTTACGGGAATAGACAGCCTCATCTTTCTCCTGAAGAGCTCCTTGAGACCAGGATCAGTGCGCTTCACATTGTTGCACTTAACAGCAGTAACAGCAACAAAAGGAAGTCCTGTGCTTGTCACTCCTCTTTACCCCAGCCTCCGACAGGCACTCATCGGCTTTCTGTGTCTATGGATTCGACTGCTCTCCAGGATTTCATACGGATGGGATCAGATAATCTGTATGTAGCCTTTGGTATCTGGCTTCTTTCACTTCACCATAAATTTTCAAAGTTCACCCATGTTGTGGCATGTATTGGTGATTCGTTCCTTTTAAAGGCTGAATAATCTTCCCTGTGGAATATTATAGATATGCTATACCTTGTTTGGGGTCCTGGTGTGGCGCTGGGGGTTAATGTGCCAGACTGCAAAGTCGTTTGAATCGTAAGGTTGGTGGTTCAAGCTCACCAGTCGCTTCTTGGAAACCCTATACAGAGTTGCTATGGGTCGGAATCGACTCGATGGCACTCAACAACAACATACCTTGTTTATCGGTTATCAGTGGATGGACATTTGGGTTAGCTTTGTCTAAATGTTCCGATTTTCCTACATCCTTGCCAACATATTATTTTTTCATTAAAACAAACAAACAAAAATTGTAGCCACCCCAGTGGGTGTGAAGTGGGGTCTTACTGTGCTTTGGATTTGCATTTCTCTACTGACTAAAGATGTTGAGCATCTTTTCCTCGGGCTGTTGGGTAGATGTATACCTTCTTTGGAAAAATGTGTATTCGAGTCCTTTGGGACCTTTCTTACTTGCGGACAGCAAGTAATGGGTGAGTGATGGTCCTGATATGCTAGCTGGACTCAGGCTCCTTGAGAGGAGTTTTATTCAACATTGACATGGAGTCCTGGTATGGCAATGTAGGATAAGCACAGCACTGCACTGCTAACTTCTAGGTCAGTGGGTCAAACTTAGCAGCCACTCGTGGGTAAGTCTGTACAGGGTGGATATAAGATGGAACTGACTTGATAACACTTAACAACAACATTAATACACGCCCACTTGAAGCCTGTATCAATAACACATTTCTTTGACACAGGGTTTCACAGTTTTCAATGAGTATCCTTGTGTATTTCTCTCATGGTCCTTATAAGAATCCTACAAAGTCAATTGTTGTTGTTGTCAAGTGCTGTCCAACTGATTCCAATTCATAGCGACCCTGTACAGGGTTTCTTAGGAGCAGCTGGTGGGTTTGAACCTTGTATAGGGTTTATATAGATCTCCAATAATAGTCATTTCAGCATTGATTAGATGGTGGAACTTAGAGCTGAGAAAACTTGCTCCCCACCAATGAGAAGTTATTTGGGATAGATAAAACATTATGAAGAAGGCCAAGTGACTAGCAGGTAGTTTGCTTAGGAGACAGTGCTCTGTGAAGTATTAGCGATAAAAGTTTTAATAGAAAATTCAAGCTTAATAGGAAAGAAAAGCAAAAACATGCTCTAAGGCTTGAAGTTATCTCTTTACTGTGATGATAAGCCCCTTGGTCTGGATTTCCACAGGGCTTCCGGCTTCACTGATGCAAGTTTTATGTAAAGTCTTCAAAGCGATTCCCTTACAGCACATTCAATGGCCTGGTACCTATTTTATATTTCTTGCTTTTCTTTTATCTTTTATAGTACTTGCAACTCCTGGGTGCACTGCAATCAGCTCTGTCTCTTTCTCTACAACAAGGTTCTGGGGTCTTTGAAGTCAGAACATGCTGGCTGTGCTGTGGTCCTAAGGAAAGGCAGACACACAGCCTTCTCCTCCATCGCAGGGCGAGTATCACGCCGTGCTGCACAAATAAGGGAATCTTAGCCCACACCCACCGACAGCTCAGCTCAACTCCTGCCTTGAGATGGACCTAGGCATGGGTCTGTGAGTGTTCCTCAGGTTGCAGAAAGCTCTGTGGGTTAAGTGCTCAGGGGCGGCCATGATGGAGGTTGGACCCTACCTTGACAGCAGGGTGCACGGGCATTGAGGTACCGAGGTGGCCAAGGCCCTGCTTCCTGGCATCTGATTGGTGGTCTGGCTGTGAGGGTGTGCCATTCCTGTCACTTTCTGAGCCAGAAGCAAGATCCTGCAATCCAAGCATCAGCATTATTAGGATGAACAGGGGAGACTGTGTGGCGCAGAAAGGTTTCAGCAGAGCCCCGGACTCACAGCTTTAATGAGAGATTCTGACCCTGGTAGAGATGAGACTTCCTTTCCCCAGGAAGCAGGAGTCCTGCATATACTTTATCATTCAAATGAGGACACTTGTGATAGCGAAAGGGGAATGTATTAATAGTTATTCTAGAAAACAGATGTGCATAGTCTGGTCCTTTCTATCACCCAGAGTGAAGATTCCACCTAATTGGTCTTGAAAATGGGATGGAAAATGAGCAGAGGGAGGAGGAATTGTGTAAGAACTTTGACGAAAGGGAAGAGGATGAAAAAGACAGAGGGGATGAAGGGAGCGGAAGACCCAGGGAGTAATGCAAGAGTTAAAGGAAAGAGAGGTAAATACTGTGAACTGATGGTACACGGAGGGGACGCAATCGCAATCATTGGAATGAAGCAAACTCCAGGATTCGTTGACTGTAAATCATCACTCAATTCACAATAAAAAGTTGAAAAAAGGGAAAGAGAATATTAGCAGACAGAGGGAAAGTGTGTGTCTGTGTTAAAACCAGTCTCCAAACCAGTGGCTGTCTGGTTGATTGTGAGTCATGTCAACCCCATGTGTGTCAGAGGAGAACTGCGCTCCATAGGGCTTTCAAGGTTGTGACCTTTCAGAAGCAGACTGCTAGTCCTTCTTTGGAGGCACTTCTGCATGAGTTTGCACTTAACCGTTTATGCCTCCCAGGGCCTTTTTTGTTAGAGCAATGAAAAGCCTTTCTGGAGTGCATGTTTCTATCCACAGTGCACTTCAGAGCAGTCCTTCTCTTCTCTTCCTCTTGTGAATTCCCACGCTGTCATTGTGACCCAAGGGGGCAAGCCAGGGGCTGCTCATGCCTCCTACAGTGGGAGCAGGGAGTGAGACCCCTGCCCTGGCATCTCCTGGTGTCAAAACATCTGTAGGACCCTTTGTTCTTTGAGTCTCAGCTTCCTCATTTGTCACTTCGGGTTGCTAGGTGACACGGAATAAAATGTTTTTTTTTTTTTTTGACAGATTCCTCTGACTTTATTAGATTTGTTAATATTTTTAAAGCATTGAGTTTATTTCACATGTACAGAAGAGTCACAAAAATAGTCCAGAGACTTCTTGTAAACCCCTCTTCAAGCTTCATTTTAGATTAGCAATTTACAAGACTCAGAACATTTACCCAAACTAAGAATTTAACCTTGGTACAATCCTATTAACAAAAATACAAGACTTACTTAGATTCCGTAAGTTTGCTCACTGATGTCCTTCATTATTCCAGCCCCATTCCAGGATCGCATGTTATGTTTGTCGTATCTCTTTACTCTCCTCCACTCTGGGCCAGACCCTGAATTCTTCCTTTTATTTCATCATCTTGACTGTTGAAGAATAAAACAAACCCACCCCATTGCCATCAACTCATATTTAGACTCATGTTGTTGTTGTTAGGTGCCATCGAGTCGATACCGACTCATAGCGACCCCATGCACAACAGAACAAAACACTGCCCGGTCCTGGGCCAACTTCACAATCATTGCTATACTTGAGTCCATTGATGCTGCCACTGTGCCAATCCATCTCAGTGGGGGTCTTCCTCTTCTTCTCCGGCCCTCCACTTTTCCAAACATGATATCCTTCTTCAGTGACTGGTCCCTCCTGACAATATGTCCGAAGCATAAGAGACGAAGTCTGGCCATCTTGGCTTCCAAGGAGCATTCTGGATGTACTTTTTCCAACACAGATCTGTTGGTTCTTTTGGCAGTCCATGATACTTTTAGCATTCTCCTCCAACACCATAACTCAAATACATCAACTTTTCTACGTTCTTCCATATTCACTGTCCAGCTTTTGCATGCATATGAGGTTATTGGAACTACCATGACTTGCGTCAGGTATACCTTAGTCCTACTGACATCTTTGCTCTTAGCAACCCCATAAGACAGAGACAAACTGCCCCATAAGGTTTACAGGATTGTACATGTTTATGTGAACACACTGCCACATCTTTGTTTCATAGAGCAGCTGGTAGATTTGAACAGATGAACTTTCAGCATCAAGTTCTTAACTATTGTGCTACCGGGGCTGACCTGTTATTTTGCAGAATATTAATATGAATCAATCTGAAACTGAACAAAATGTTTTCTTGCATTTTGCCTGGCATAGCTCAGTCAAAGCGCCCTTTTCCTCCTCCTCCCCTGTGGGTTAAGCAGAAAAGAACTTGTCTTATCAAACTGTTCTTAAATCAGAAACGGAGGAATTTACTGTCAGAATAATACATACACATGGTCTGACATACTGTTTGATGTTATCAAAGAAGTTTGGCTGTGAAGACCAACTGCGGCATGCAGGGGAAGGAAAATTCTTTGATTATAAACTCTTGCACAATAAACATATGACTATTATTTGCTTGACTTTTCATACCTTCTCTTTCCCTTCCATTCTGCATTTTTTGTGTGTGTGCGTCAAAATGTAACATGAAAAGCGACTTGGTTTCAGACAAGAGGGCCCCAGATAAGAATTTTTATAACTACCTCTGACATTTGCCTGGTGCTTTACAGCTTGTAAAATGTTTTCAGATATAATATCCAATTTCAATCCACTGAACAATTCTATAAGGAGTCCTGGTGTGGCGCTGTGGGTTAATGAGCCAGACTGCAAAGCCATTTGAACTTAAAGGTCGGTGGCTGAAGCTCACCAGCTGCTCCTCAGAAACCCTATACAGGGTCGCTATGGGTTGGAACCGCCTCAACAGCACTTCACAACAACATAAGGCAGGAGGGGTAGCACGTCCCATTGCAGGGAAGAACATTGAGATCAGAAAGGACTGCTCAGAACCAGGACTTGAGCTCACCTCTCCCGGCCCGCATCTCACTCTTGTGTGTGAACACCCAGACCCATCTCTTCCGGGCTCCATGAATACTGTCCTGTTTGTTGTTGTTAAGTGCCTTCGTGTCAGATCCAACTCCTAGCAACCCTATGTAGGGTCTCCAAGGAGTAACTGCTGGGTTTGAACTGCTGACATGTGGTTCACACTCCAGTGCTGATCCTACAGCGCCACACCAGGAGTCCCAGGCTGAGGGAAAATGAGGACAGGGATGACTCGATGGTAGAATTTTTGCCGTCGGTGCGGGAGACCTGGGTTCCATTCAAGTCAGTACACCTCATGCACAGCCACTGTCAGTGAAGGCTTGTGTGTTATCATGATGCTAAACTGGTTTCAGAGAAGCACCCAGACTCTGAGAAGGACGAGGAAGAAAGACCTGGAGACCTACTTCTGAAAAGGAACAATGGGAGGTCTACGGATGACAAGAGTCTTCATGTGCAGCCAATCCTGGGGATGGCCTGCAAGGTTACACCTGTAACAGAGGAAAACTCCCATCCAACTTCTAGAGGAGGGGGCTCTGGGGTGCTCCTAGAGGCCACACAGTCCTTGAGCCTCAGGGAGCCTTTGTGCCAAAATTGACAAAGGTAATACCTTTCTGGAAGGGGTTGTGGCATCAATGAGAACATTTCTGCCAAGTGCCTAGTACTGCTGCTGGCACGGAGTAGGTATGTCATACCTGTTGCTGTTGTTAGAGCTCTGGTAGCATAGTGGTTACGAATTGGGCTGTAAACCTCAAGGTCAGGAGTTCGAAACTACCAGCTGTTCCATGGGAGAAAGATGAGGCTTTCTGCTCCCGTAAAGATTTACAGCCTCGGAACCCCTGTGCAGGGTCGGAACCGACTCCATGGCACATAACAACAACTCTTAGAAAAGGGAAAGGACTGTAAACAGGCTAGTACCACTGTGTTTACCATTGTTCCTCACCTCTTGAGAGTTTGCGGGTTTGTCTAGAAATAGTTGAGTGCTGTGTTTGGAAGTGGACTTGGTCCTGGCTGAGTTGCTAGAAACTTGCTAACTGGAGCCGACTGCATTTGCTTCTCCTCACCTCTAAGATCACCTCACTCACTTTAAAGCCAGTCTTGCTGCAGAACTTTCTAGCTGGGAGACTGCAGACAAGAGTTACCTTGTCTCCATCACCTGATCTGTGGAAGATGGAAATGAAATGCATCTATTTCATGGAGAAGGTGTTTAATAAGTAAGCCCAAGAGTACCATACTGGGCATTTCCCTCCCCCAGTGTTTTCTAGAGATATTTTCCACTATTGATCTATCCTTGGACTGGGTGATGCAAATGGCTATGTGCTGAGCTCCTAACCAGAAAGTTGGTGGTTCAAGCCCACCCAGTGGTGCCTCAGAATAAAGGCCTGGTGATCAGCTTCTGAAAGGACACAAATGTACAAACCCTATGGAGTGCAGCTTTCCTCAGACATACATGTGGCTGTCATGAGTCAGAGTTGGCTACAAACAAGTGTTTAGTTTTTGGTTCTGGTCTGAATACACTGAGATAATTCAGGGGCAAGAGACTGTTTATTTTGAAGACTGTAAAGAGATTATAAAGGAGCTCTGGTAGCATAATGGTTATGAATCGGGCTGCCAACCTCAAGGTCAGTAGCTCGAAACTACCAGTGGTTCCATGGGAGAAAGATGAGGCGTTCTGCCCCCCGTGAAGATTTACAGCCTTGGAAATCCTGTGCAGGGTCACTATGAGTCAGAACTAACTCCATGATACTTAACAACAACAACAATAAACCAAGGTGTGGTTTATTTACCTGGATTGTCCCTGGAGGGCCTGCAAGAGTGGTGTCCACGGTTTTCGTGTCAGCAGGGGATCCCATGGAGCCCTGGGGGTCTTCACTTCGAGTTTGATCTGGGGAAAGTCCATCGCTGCTGCTGTCCTCTTCAAAGGCAAATGCATCAGCTGATTTGGAGAAGCTCACCTGGTTACCTGATTGAGTAAAACCCAAGAACAGGGTCAGTGGCTTAAGGAACATCAAATGGCTTTTGGAAACACTTCAATGAGTTTATTCGAATCACACAAGATTTCCTTGGATTTATTTTAAGATCAAAGTAAGAATACAGGTTATTTGAAATTACTGAGTTTTTCATATATTTACTCCAAATGGGAATTTGGACTTATAAAAGTGGTCTGTTTTGGTAGGAGACATGAGTGATATGTTGAAGGGCTGTCTTCATTCATTAACCATTATTCTCAGACTTATCCATTTCTTTAGCTTTTCCATGTGAACTTTGGAAAAGTCCCTGGGTGGTGTAGTGGTTAATTTATTCAGCTACTAAACAAGATGTTGAAGGTTCAGATCCACCGAGAGAGGTGCCTCAGAAGAAAAGATTGGAAATCTACTTCAGAAAAAAAGCAGCTATTGAAAATCTTAAGGAGCAATGCCTACTCTGATACACAGGAAGTCCCATGAGGTGAGGTCAATGCAATTGTTCCCGGTGGTGATGGTCTTGCAAGTCTAAATTTTTTTTTTTTTTTTTAATTGTTGCTGAAATTATACATGGCAAAACAGATACCAATTCTACATGTATGACACTGTGCCGTTCATGCGATTCTTTCCATTTTGTAGCTCTTTTCATCCTCCTCTTTTGATTTGTAGTTCCCGATTGATGTAGACCCACTAGCTAACTTTTTGAGTTGTTGTTAACAATTTGATCCCCTAGAGTAAGTTCCTTAAAAGTTCGCTATACTCATCACATCCTTCACTACAGTGTTGTTGTTTGCTTTAAAAAAAGCTTCAGAGGACAGGTTTCGTTTACTGCTTTCAGGACAGTAGTTTTGGAGGTTCATCCAACCTCATGAATTCCAGAAGGATTAGCGTCCTTGAGAATTAAAATTATATTTCATATCTTTTCTCCTTTTGATCAGGATTCTTCTTTAGAATCTTTGTCCAGAATGTTGCATAATGGTAGCCGGGCACCATTTAGTTCTTCGGACCTCTTGACAAAAGGGGCAGTTGTTCATGAAGATTATTATCAACACATCCCATTTCCTTCTCCTAGTTCTGACTCTTCTTTTTCCTCTCTTTCCTCCAGGAGAACAGAGACCCAGTGTTGTACCTTAAATGACTGCAAGCATTAAGACCTTTGTTGTTGTTGTCAAGTGCTGTTGCGTCGATTCCGACTCATAGTGACCCTGTATAGGGTTTCCAAGGAGCAGCTGGTAAACTTGAACTGCTGACCTTGCAGTTCAAACGGCTTTGCAGTCTGGCGCATTAACCCACAGCGCCACACCAGGACTCCTTAAGACCTTTAGACATTACCCAATGAACCAGGGGATAAAACAGATGTACTAAACATGTTATTAGGGCCAGGAACTGGGGTATCCCATGAGATCATGACCCTAATCCCCCAAACCATGAAATGTTTTGTTGGATATAAGCAGCCTCAACAGCTAGTTGTTGTTGTTGCTGTTGTAGGAAAAGATTCATTGCACTTAAATTCTACTTATTACAGTTATATAATTTAGGAACATTGATTACACCAATCAAATGTAAGCCCATTACCCTTAATCACTGAGACTTTCCTATCACTATGAATGCAACACAGCAATAACAACTCCCCTTCCCCCTCCCTCCCACCGCCTGGTAACCATAATAAATTTTGGTTTCGATATATTTGCCTATTCTTATCTTTTTATGGAATCCTGGTATGGCTCTGTGGGTAAATACACTGGACTGCAAATTCAGTTTGAGTTGCCCGGTTGGTGGTTCAAAATCACCAGCCGCTTCTCGGAAACCCTGTACAGGAACTGTATAGGGTTGGAACTGACTCAATAGCACTTAACAACGACAACAATCTTTTTATATCAGTAGAAGTAGAATCATACAGTATTTGGCATACTACTCAGCCAGAAGGAGAAACGGAATGCTGACACAGGCTATAATACGGTTGGAGCTTGAGGACGTTATATGTAGAGAAATAAGCCAATAACAAAAGGACAAGTAGTGTGTGACCTCACTTATATAAAAAAGAGAACAGGCAAATTATAGAGACCGAGTTTTATTAGTGGTGAACCTTTGCGTTTTTCAATGAAGGGAGGTAAAGGGAAGAATAGGGATTATGAGATACAGGCTGACGCCAAAGGGGAATGCACTAGGAGAATGTCACCATCTCCCTTGGGTTTTATGAGGAGAGACACAATTGAAATGACAGCATGCCACTGGCATCGTCTTCAGATAGTAAGCAGGGTACAAAGCCCAAAATGTTGAGCGAATTTTGCTAATAAGGATAAGCCGGGTCAGCTACTAAGTTTAAATTCCTAAATGTCAGGATTAGTGAATGTTACCAGTGTCCCCAAAGCCCCATTCAATGAAAACATAATTGTTTATAAAAGCCATAAATGTGTCTCAGAAGCTCCGGTGTCATGCTTGCTTTTTATTACTTGGACTGTCTTTTTATTTTCCCTATCTTTGTGTCTATTTTGGAAATCCTCAATGGCTCTCACACAGAGAGGCTCCTACCTTGTAGTCTGCGTGGTGTTTCTAGGAGAATGGAGAAATTGGCTTAGGGAGTGGGGTTATCCATCCAGATGGGACTATAACAACATCCTTATATGTCCCTTTAAGTTTTTATGGCCAAATCTCATCTGGCTTTATTATCCAGCTACACAGTACAAGATGTGCTGAAGTCACATAGCTTCTCTGACATGAATCCAGCCGGTGTCCTTCTAAAGGAATTTAGGTATTATCAGGAAGTTTTCAGCCTGGCATTCTGCACTCACCCTGACAAGAACTTTGGACTCTGGCTTTGTGCAGATAAGAGAGAAAACATGTCACTGTGGGGTTGGAGCTGGAAGTAATGGAACAAATGAGGTGTGGGGCTTGTCATCGCTCTGACTGCTGGCATCTGTCATGGATCCTCATTCTGACATCCAAAGGTGAACTCAGGAAAGAGACTGGGCGAGGACAGAGTGGGTGGAGCCAACTGACGGTGGCCCCGTGGGTGACCCACTAACCTGGATGGGTTCTGGGCACTACCATTTCTGCCCCATGGATCCTAGAGTTACTTATAAAAGTCACTACTGTTTCTTTTCATCTAATTTTTAAAAAATTGTTTTAAAGTATTTCTAACATTTGCCTTTAATGATTATGTCTAATTGTGCCAGGAGCTCTGGTAGCGTAGTGGTTATGAATTGGGCTGCGAACCACAAGGTCAGCAGTTCGAAACTACCAGCTGTTCCGTGAGAGAAAGATGAGGCTTTCTGCTCCTTAAAGATCTGCAGCCTATGAAACCCTGTACAGGGTCGCTATGAGTCGGAACCGACTCTGCAGCACATAACAACAACATATTTATGCCATTTAATGATACGATTTTTTTTATCCTAGAATATATGCACGTCATAAAAATCAGTGGGAGAAAGATGAGGCATTCTGCTCCTATAAAGATTTACAGCCTCGGAAACCCTGTACAGGGTCGCTATGAGTCAGAACCTACTCCACGGCACACACACACACACACCACCACCAATGTATATGATAGCTTAACTTCCTTTTAATGATTTGTCTTCTAGATAAAGTCTCACATTCCAGGGAGAATTCACCAAACTGCAAAGCTGTCCAATTATTCTAACATGTAGTTTGACACATTAAGAAAAGGAGGAAGGAAGAGGATTTTTTTTTTTTTTTCTGTCCTTATTCCTCAACAATTGCACTTTAATTCCTACAACTGACACCAAGTGATGGAAATAGAACTTTGCATTAGTAGTTCACTAGATAGGGTCATTATAAGTCGGTGGTACCTAACAACAACAATGATAATGGCAGGGGTCCCTGGGTGATGTGAATGCCTAATGAGCTCAGCTGTTAACTGAAAGGTTAGAAGTTTAAACCCACCAAAGGAGTCTCAGAAGACTTGGATGCTACTGTTGTTGTTATGTGCCGTGGAGTCGGTTCTGACCCATAGCGACCCTGTACAGGGTTTCCGAGGCTGTAAATCTTTACGGGAGCAGAAAGCCTCGTCTTTCTCCCACAGAACAGCTGGTAGTTTTGAACTGCTGACCTTGTGGTTCACAGCCCGATTCATAACCACTACGCTACCAGAGCTCCAAAGGAGTCTCAGAAGACTTGGATAACTACTTCCAAACGACCAGCCCTGGGAACCCTGGGATACAGTTCTACTCTAATACACACAGGAGTAATCTAAATAGACACTGACTAGACAGCAACTCCTGATAATGGTAATAGAAAAAAGAATACACTTTTGTTTGGTCTCATAATGATCCAGTAGTTGAAGCAGAGGCAAATGTTCTCATTCCTGTTTTGTAGATAAGAAAAAGACAAGATCTCAAACTTCAGTTGTTCAGTGATGGAGCTAAGATTGCAGGCCCAGTCTTTGGAGCCTCAGCATCCCCAGATAGGCAAAATCACTGACAGCCAGCAGGTGGCGTGTTGTTTAGGAAGCACTGTAAGTCAGACTTGCCAGGGTAGGTGACAGCCAGAAGTACTAACAAATCAGACTTAGAAGAAATACAACTGGAGTATTTCTTCAAAAACAAGGATGGCAAGACTTAGACTTGTTTACTTGTCACTTAGAATAGGACATCATCAGTGAAAATGAGGGAAGTGCACGAGGAGATGGATTGACACACAGCTGTGGTGAGAGACTTGGACGTACGGGTATGAAGATGGTCCAGGATCAGCCATTGTTCCATTGTAAAGCCACCATGAGTGGAGTCAACGCAACAGCATAGAAGATGACCCAACGTCTCTTCTTTGTCTGCAGATAACAGTGTGTGAAGGCCAGCTCCGTACTCCACGAAATCTATTAGTTGAGGTTTTGAGATGAATGTAACATCTTGATTGTGAGGGAAAAAGAAGAAACAGAAGATGGAGGATGAGCAGGAGGAAGAGGAGAAGAAGACGACGACGACGGCAGAAGATTTCTGCAGAGCATGATTGTTTTGATGTGGCTTCATTGCTGTAAAGGGTT